CCCATCCCAAATTAGAACATTCTTAAATGTCGGGATCTTTCTGGAAACACTTCTTAATCCAGAATCAGTAACTTTCAGTATTAAAAGAAAAGAAATGCTGTAGAGCCGCTGTCTCCAACCTTTTTCACCCAGAGAGCTACTGTCCCAGGACCATAAAGGCAGAGAGCTACTGTCCCAGGACCATAAAGGCAGAGAGCTACTGTCCCAGGACCATAAAGGCAGAGAGCAACGGTTAGAAGGTTACAAGGTTTGAAATAAGATTTGTTTTACATCCAACTTTGCTTCTTTGCAAAGAATCCTCCGTTTGCAGCAAGAACAGTCATTTACCACATAACAATGTATAGAGTGTTGTTTTACAGTTAAGACTAGTTTAACGTTATCTACAGCTAGTTTATATATATATGTATATATATATATATATATATATATATATAACACATACTTTCCAGGTGTTTTCTGAGGGTGTGTTTTTAAGACTGAAGTCCTGAAACTCTTCAGTCCGACATTTAAACAGTTTTAAAAAGAAAAAGGCCAACCTCTGTAACCAAGAGTAATAAAGTGTTTACTTTGTCTCTCAGAACGTTAGCCATGAGGAGCTCTACAGTCACATGTTTGAAACAGAAGTTCATCCACTTCTGTCCATTTTGTGTTTTTTTAAAGATGTTTAGTTTGTGTCTAAAGTGTGCATTTGGGATTCTTAGAATGTAAAAAGTGTAGGATACAGAAAGTTGTAAATTACTTTAAGATAAACCAAAACCTAATTTTATGTAATGCTTTATTATAAAGTGAATAACTGGAGCTTGGTTGTGTCAGGGTTTAACAGAAACATTCTTTTCTAAACTATTTTAAATCATACTTATGCAGTGCATTTGATCGACATGCCTTTAATCTTTCCTTTGCAGAGAATTTTAACTGTTGTATTTTTATTTTTATTTTTAATGTTCTGTGATTATTTATGATTTTAATGCTTTCTTGTTTTGTTCAGCACTTTGAGTTGCCTTGTGTATGAATTGTGCTATATAAATAAACTTGCCTTATCCTCTCATGGTTAGTGTGGGTCACTTACTGTCCTGGATGTCTGCTTTTGCACCACGCAAACCTTAGCATTTCTATTCTCATTATTATCACGAGCTGTGGAGGGGACATTATCTAGTTTAGTTTATTCATTTATTTGGTCATTATTCAACCAAAACAACACAGACGCAGAGTGAGACGCAGAGTGAGGCGCAGACGCAGAGTGAGGCGCAGACGCAGAGTGAGGCGCAGACGCAGAGTGAGGCGCAGACGCAGAGTGAGGCGCAGACGCAGAGTGAGACGCAGACGCAGAGTGAGACGCAGACCAGAGTGAGGCGCAGACGCAGAGTGAGGCGCAGACGCAGAGTGAGGCGCAGACGCAGAGTGAGACGCAGACGCAGAGTGAGGCGCAGACGCAGAGTGAGGCGCAGACGCAGAGTGAGGCGCAGACGCAGAGTGAGACGCAGAGTGAGGCGCAGACGCAGAGTGAGGCGCAGACGCAGAGTGAGGCGCAGACGCAGAGTGAGACGCAGACGCAGAGTGAGGCGCAGACCAGAGTGAGACGCAGACGCAGAGTGAGGCGCAGACGCAAAGTGAGACGCAGACGCAGAGTGAGACGCAGACGCAGAGTGAGGCGCAGACGCAGAGTGAGACGCAGACCAGAGTGAGACGCAGAGTGAGACGCAGACCAGAGTGAGACGCAGGCGCAGAGTGAGGCGCAGACGCAGAGTGAGGCGCAGACGCAGAGTGAGGCGCAGACGCAGAGTGAGACGCAGACGCAGAGTGAGACGCAGACCAGAGTGTGGCGCAGACGCAGAGTGAGACGCAGACGCAGAGTGAGACGCAGACCAGAGTGAGGCGCAGACCAGAGTGAGGCGCAGACGCAGAGTGAGGCGCAGACGCAGAGTGAGACGCAGACGCAGAGTGAGGCGCAGACGCAGAGTGAGGCGCAGACGCAGAGTGAGACGCAGACCAGAGTGAGGCGCAGAGTGAGGCGCAGACGCAGAGTGAGGCGCAGACGCAGAGTGAGACGCAGACGCAGAGTGAGACGCAGACCAGAGTGAGACGCAGACGCAGAGTGAGGCGCAGACGCAGAGTGAGACGCAGACCAGAGTGAGACGCAGAGTGAGACGCAGACCAGAGTGAGACGCAGACGCAGAGTGAGGCGCAGACGCAGAGTGAGGCGCAGACGCAGAGTGAGACGCAGACGCAGAGTGAGACGCAGACGCAGACCAGAGTGAGGCGCAGACGCAGAGTGAGACGCAGACGCAGAGTGAGACGCAGACGCAGAGTGAGGCGCAGACGCAGAGTGAGACGCAGACGCAGAGTGAGGCTGAGACGCAGACCAGAGTGAGGCGCAGACGCAGAGTGAGACGCAGACCAGAGTGAGGCGCAGACGCAGAGTGAGGCGCAGAGTGAGGCGCAGACGCAGAGTGAGGCGCAGACGCAGAGTGAGACGCAGACGCAGAGTGAGGCGCAGACCAGAGTGAGGCGCAGACGCAGAGTGAGGCGCAGACCAGAGTGAGGCGCAGACGCAGAGTGAGGCACAGACGCAGAGTGAGACGCAGACGCAGAGTGAGGCGCAGACGCAGAGTGAGGCGCAGACGCAGAGTGAGACGCAGACGCAGAGTGAGGCGCAGACCAGAGTGAGACGCAGACGCAGAGTGAGGCGCAGACGCAGAGTGAGGCGCAGACGCAGAGTGAGGCGCAGACGCAGAGTGAGACGCAGACGCAGAGTGAGACGCAGACCAGAGTGAGGCGCAGACACAGAGTGAGGCGCAGACGCAGAGTGAGGCGCAGACGCAGAGTGAGGCGCAGACCAGAGTGAGACGCAGACGCAGAGTGAGGCGCAGACGCAGAGTGAGACGCAGACCAGAGTGAGACGCAGAGTGAGACGCAGACCAGAGTGAGACGCAGACGCAGAGTGAGGCGCAGACGCAGAGTGAGGCGCAGACGCAGAGTGAGACGCAGACGCAGAGTGAGACGCAGACGCAGACCAGAGTGAGGCGCAGACGCAGAGTGAGACGCAGACGCAGAGTGAGACGCAGACGCAGAGTGAGGCGCAGACGCAGAGTGAGGCGCAGACGCAGAGTGAGGCTGAGACGCAGACCAGAGTGAGGCGCAGACGCAGAGTGAGACGCAGACCAGAGTGAGGCGCAGACGCAGAGTGAGGCGCAGAGTGAGGCGCAGACGCAGAGTGAGGCGCAGACGCAGAGTGAGACGCAGACGCAGAGTGAGGCGCAGACCAGAGTGAGGCGCAGACGCAGAGTGAGGCGCAGACCAGAGTGAGGCGCAGACGCAGAGTGAGGCACAGACGCAGAGTGAGACGCAGACGCAGAGTGAGGCGCAGACGCAGAGTGAGGCGCAGACGCAGAGTGAGGCGCAGACGCAAAGTGAGGCGCAGACGCAGAGTGAGACGCAGACCAGAGTGAGACGCAGACGCAGAGTGAGGCGCAGACCAGAGTGAGACGCAGACGCAGAGTGAGGCGCAGACGCAGAGTGAGGCGCAGACGCAAAGTCAGGCTCAGACGCAGAGTGAGGCGCAGACGCAGAGTGAGGCGCGGGCGCAGAGTGAGGCGCAGACCAGAGTGAGGCGCAGGCGCAGAGTGAGGCGCAGACGCAGAGTGAGGCGCAGACCAGAGTGAGGCGCAGACCAGAGTGAGGCGCAGACCAGAGTGAGACGCAGACGCAGAGTGAGACGCAGACGCAGAGTGAGGCGCGACCAGAGTGATGCGCAGACGCAGAGTGAGACGCAGACACAGAGTGAGGCGCAGACGCAGAGTGAGGCGCAGACCAGAGTGAGGCGCAGACCAGAGTGAGACGCAGACGCAGAGTGAGACGCAGAGTGAGGCGCAGACCAGAGTGAGGCGCAGACGCAGAGTGAGACGCAGACGCAGAGTAAGGCTCATACGCAGAGTGAGGCGCAGACCAGAGTGAGGCGCAGACCAGAGTGAGGCGCAGACGCAGAGTGAGGCGCAGACGCAGAGTGAGACGCAGACCAGAGTGAGGCGCAGACCAGAGTGAGGCGCAGACGCAGAGTGAGGCGCAGACGCAGAGTGAGACGCAGACGCAGAGTGAGGCGCAGACGCAGAGTGAGGCGCAGACGCAGAGTGAGGCGCAGACGCAGAGTGAGGCGCAGACGCAGAGTGAGACGCAGACCAGAGTGAGGCGCAGAGTGAGGCGCAGACGCAGAGTGAGGCGCAGACGCAGAGTGAGACGCAGACGCAGAGTGAGGCGCATACCAGAGTGAGACGCAGACGCAGAGTGAGGCGCAGACGCAAAGTGAGACGCAGACGCAGAGTGAGGCGCAGACGCAGAGTGAGGCGCAGACGCAGAGTGAGACGCAGACCAGAGTGAGACGCAGAGTGAGACGCAGACCAGAGTGAGACGCAGACGCAGAGTGAGGCGCAGACGCAGAGTGAGGCGCAGACGCAGAGTGAGGCGCAGACGCAGAGTGAGACGCAGACGCAGAGTGAGACGCAGACCAGAGTGTGGCGCAGACGCAGAGTGAGACGCAGACGCAGAGTGAGACGCAGACCAGAGTGAGGCGCAGACCAGAGTGAGGCGCAGACGCAGAGTGAGGCGCAGACGCAGAGTGAGGCGCAGACGCAGAGTGAGGCGCAGACGCAGAGTGAGACGCAGACCAGAGTGAGGCGCAGAGTGAGGCGCAGACGCAGAGTGAGGCGCAGACGCAGAGTGAGACGCAGACGCAGAGTGAGGCGCAGACCAGAGTGAGACGCAGACGCAGAGTGAGGCGCAGACGCAGAGTGAGACGCAGACCAGAGTGAGACGCAGACGCAGAGTGAGGCGCAGACGCAGAGTGAGGCGCAGACGCAGAGTGAGACGCAGACGCAGAGTGAGACGCAGACGCAGACCAGAGTGAGGCGCAGACGCAGAGTGAGACGCAGACGCAGAGTGAGACGCAGACGCAGAGTGAGGCGCAGACGCAGAGTGAGACGCAGACGCAGAGTGAGGCTGAGACGCAGACCAGAGTGAGGCGCAGACGCAGAGTGAGACGCAGACCAGAGTGAGGCGCAGACGCAGAGTGAGGCGCAGAGTGAGGCGCAGACGCAGAGTGAGGCGCAGACGCAGAGTGAGACGCAGACGCAGAGTGAGGCGCAGACCAGAGTGAGGCGCAGACGCAGAGTGAGGCGCAGACCAGAGTGAGGCGCAGACGCAGAGTGAGGCGCAGACGCAGAGTGAGACGCAGACGCAGAGTGAGGCGCAGACGCAGAGTGAGGCGCAGACGCAGAGTGAGGCGCAGACGCAAAGTGAGGCGCAGACGCAGAGTGAGACGCAGACCAGAGTGAGACGCAGACGCAGAGTGAGGCGCAGACCAGAGTGAGACGCAGACGCAGAGTGAGGCGCAGACGCAGAGTGAGGCGCAGACGCAGAGTGAGGCGCAGACGCAGAGTGAGACGCAGACGCAGAGTGAGACGCAGACCAGAGTGAGGCGCAGACACAGAGTGAGGCGCAGACGCAGAGTGAGGCGCAGACGCAGAGTGAGGCGCAGACGCAAAGTCAGGCTCAGACGCAGAGTGAGGCGCAGACGCAGAGTGGAGGCGCGGGCGCAGAGTGAGGCGCAGACCAGAGTGAGGCGCAGACGCAGAGTGAGGCGCAGACCAGAGTGAGGCGCAGACCAGAGTGAGGCGCAGACCAGAGTGAGACGCAGACGCAGAGTGAGACGCAGACGCAGAGTGAGGCGCAGACCAGAGTGAGGCGCAGACGCAGAGTGAGACGCAGACACAGAGTGAGGCGCAGACGCAGAGTGAGGCGCAGACCAGAGTGAGGCGCAGACCAGAGTGAGACGCAGAGTGAGACGCAGAGTGAGGCGCAGACCAGAGTGAGGCGCAGACGCAGAGTGAGACGCAGACGCAGAGTAAGGCTCATACGCAGAGTGAGGCGCAGACCAGAGTGAGGCGCAGACCAGAGTGAGGCGCAGACCAGAGTGAGACGCAGACGCAGAGTGAGACGCAGACGCAGAGTGAGGCGCAGACCAGAGTGAGGCGCAGACGCAGAGTGAGACGCAGACGCAGAGTGAGGCGCAGACGCAGAGTGAGGCGCAGACGCAGAGTGAGGCGCAGACGCCAAGTGAGACGCAGACGCAGAGTGAGGCGCAGACGCAGAGTGAGACGCAGAGTGAGGCGCAGACCAGAGTGAGGCGCAGACCAGAGTGAGGCGCAGACGCATAGTGAGACGCAGACGCAGAGTGAGGCGCAGACGCAGAGTGAGGCGCAGACCAGAGTGAGGCGCAGACGCAGAGTGAGACGCAGACGCAGAGTGAGGCGCAGACGCAGAGTGAGACGCAGAGTGAGGCGCAGACCAGAGTGAGGCGCAGACCAGAGTGAGATGCAGAGTGAGACGCAGACGCAGAGTGAGGCGCAGACGCAGAGTGAGACGCAGAGTGAGGCGCAGACCAGAGTGAGACGCAGAGTGAGACGCAGACGCAGAGTGAGATGCAGAGTGAGACGCAGAGTGAGGCGCAGACCAGAGTGAGGCGCAGACGCAGAGTGAGACGCAGACGCAGAGTGAGACGCAGACCAGAGTGAGGCGCAGACCAGAGTGAGACGCAGACGCAGAGTGAGACGCAGACGCAGAGTGAGACGCAGACGCAGAGTGAGGCGCAGACCAGAGTGAGGCGCAGACGCAGAGTGAGACGCAGACGCAGAGTGAGGCGCGGGCGCAGAGTGAGGCGCAGACCAGAGTGAGGCGCAGACGCAGAGGGTTTGTGTAATGCAGTTCTCATACTTTACTTAACCCCAGTTCATTTGAAATACTAACCTTTATTTAACCAGGAAAGTCCCAGTGCGATTTCAAAATCTCTTTTTCAGTTCTGACTCCAGAGAGAGGGGAGCTATCATACATGTATTTAGTGGTAGGGGGAAACCGGAGCACCTGGAGGAAACCTACATAGACACAAAGAATAACATGTAAACTCCACTCAGGAAAGACACTGAAAGATTTGAGCCAAATTCCATCTATGTGCATTTGTTATGACTTCAGGAGCAGACAGTTATTATGGTGTCACAGCATACTTTCAGGGCGTGTAAACTGAACCACAAACCTCACTGTGTTTCAGAATCAGTGATGTCACATGTTCTTTTCAGTTTTAGTTTACTTTTGAGTCGCTTCAGAACAGAAAGGAGACGAGGATTTTTATATGATTTGTGCAAATGTTTATAAGAGCAGAGCAGTCCTCACTTTCAGCAGGGAGACCGGTCCACTGTCCGCAGCAGTGAGACCGGTCCGCAGCAGTGAGACCGGTCCACTGTCCGCAGTAGCGAGACCGGTCCATTGTCCGCAGCAGCAAGACCGGTCCACTGTCCGCAGCAGCGAAACCGGTCCGCAGCAGTGAGACCGGTCCACTGTCCGCAGCAGCGAAACCGGTCCGCAGCAGTGAGACCGGTCCACTGTCCGCAGTAGCGAGACCGGTCCATTGTCCGCAGCAGCAAGACCGGTCCACTGTCAGCAGCAGCGAAACCGGTCCGCAGCAGTGAGACCGGTCCACTGTCCGCAGCAGTGAAACCGGTCCACAGCAGTGAAACCGGTCCACTGTCAGCAGCAGCGAGACCGGTCCACTGTCAGCGGCAGCGAGACCGGTCCACTGTCCGCGGCAGCGAGACCGGTCCACTGTCAGCAGCAAAACCGGTCCACAGCAGTGAGACCGGTCCACTGTCCGCAGTAGCGAGACCGGTCCACTGTCAGCAGCAGCAAAACCGGTCCACAGTCCGCAGCAGTGAAACCGGTCCACAGCAGTGAAACCGGTCCACAGCAGTGAGACTGGTCCACTGTCAGCAGCAGTGAAACCGGTCCACTGTCCGCAGTAGCGAGACCGGTCCATTGTCCACAGCAGTGAGACCGGTCCACTGTCCGCAGTAGCGAGACCGGTCCATTGTCCGCAGCAGCAAGACCGGTCCACTGTCAGCAGCAGCAAAACCGGTCCGCAGCAGTGAGACCGGTCCACTGTCCGCAGCAGTGAAACCGGTCCACAGCAGTGAAACCGGTCCACTGTCAGCAGCAGCGAGACCGGTCCACTGTCAGCGGCAGCGAGACCGGTCCACTGTCCGCGGCAGCGAGACCGGTCCACTGTCCGCGGCAGCGAGACCGGTCCACTGTCCGCGGTAGCAAGACCGGTCCACTGTCAGCAGCGAAACCGGTCCACAGCAGTGAGACCGGTCCACTGTCCGCAGTAGCGAGACCGGTCCACTGTCAGCAGCAGCGAAACCGGTCCACAGTCCGCAGCAGTGAAACCGGTCCACAGCAGTGAAACCGGTCCACAGCAGTGAGACTGGTCCACTGTCAGCAGCAGCGAGACCGGTCCACTGTCCGCAGCAACGAGACCGGTCCACTGTCCGCAGCAGCGAGACCGGTCCATTGTCCGCAGCAGTGAAACCGGTCCACTGTCCGCAGTAGCGAGACCGGTCCACTGTCAGCGGCAGCGAGACCGGTCCACTGTCAGCGGCAGCGAGACCGGTCCACTGTCCGCGGCAGCGAGACCGGTCCACTGTCCGCGGCAGCGAGACCGGTCCACTGTCAGCAGCGAAACCGGTCCACAGCAGTGAGACCGGTCCACTGTCCGCAGCAGCGAGACCGGTCCATTGTCCGCAGCAGCAAGACCGGTCCACTGTCAGCAGCAGCGAAACCGGTCCACAGCAGTGAAACCGGTCCACAGCAGTGAGACTGGTCCACTGTCAGCAGCAGCGAGACCGGTCCACTGTCCGCGGCAGCGAGACCGGTCCACTGTCCGCGGCAGCAAGACTGGTCCACTGTCCGCGGCAGCGAGACCGGTCCACTGTCAGCAGCGAAACCGGTCCACTGTCAGCAGCGAAACCGGTCCACAGCAGTGAGACCGGTCCACTGTCCCTAGTAGCGAGACCGGTCCATTGTCCGCAGCAGCAAGACCGGTCCACTGTCAGCAGCAGCGAAACCGGTCCACAGCAGTGAAACCGGTCCACAGCAGTGAGACTGGTCCACTGTCAGCAGCAGCGAGACCGGTCCACTGTCCGCGGCAGCGAGACCGGTCCACTGTCCGCGGCAGCAAGACTGGTCCACTGTCCGCGGCAGCGAGACCGGTCCACTGTCAGCAGCGAAACCGGTCCACTGTCCGCGGCAGCAAGACTGGTCCACTGTCAGCAGCAGCGAGACCGGTCCACTGTCCGCGGCAGCGAGACCGGTCCACTGTCCGCGGCAGCAAGACTGGTCCACTGTCCGCGGCAGCGAGACCGGTCCACTGTCCGCGGCAGCAAGACTGGTCCACTGTCAGCAGCAGCGAGACCGGTCCACTGTCCGCGGCAGCAAGACTGGTCCACTGTCCGCGGCAGCGAGACCGGTCCACTGTCCGCGGCAGCAAGACTGGTCCACTGTCAGCAGCAGCGAGACCGGTCCACTGTCCGCAGCAGCGAGACCGGTCCACTGTCCACATGGGTCAGGTCGTCTTCAGAGAGTTTAGGCTGTGACCAACAGAGCTGTTACTGAGCAGCCAGAGCAGATGTTAATGATGCACAAACACTTGGAGGAAGTGGCCAAAGTCCAGCTCAGCACAAAGAGAGCTGCTGATGGAACATGTGGAAAGTGCCGTAAAATAAAACAGGATTCAAGCTGGACCAGACTTTGAAAACCACAGAAATATGTCGTAAGATTCCTGAGACTAACACCTATCTCTAAAAACTGTTTGGTTGTTACATGGAGGAAAGGACCCAAAACATGAAATGCATAAATAATATCATTTTTTTAAAATCCAAAAACCAAACTTGACTGACTGTAGAACACAGGAACTGAGGACAAAGAAAACCACGGAACAAACTCTCAATAGACTGACGACCAGAGGGAAAGAGCACAGGGACTTAAACTGGGAGACACAGGTACATCAGGGCAGACAAACAGGAAGTAAAACCCAAAGACACAGAAGAACAGATGATACAAACTAAGAAAGGAACTGAAAATGAGAAGCATGCGTTGGTTCTTTCACATGAGTCTCTCTGTCGGCTCCAGATCATTTTACAGTCAGAAAAGTAACAAAAGAGGATTTTTTTATCACTTCCTGACTCAGAGAAGCAGCTTTCTGTGTAGAAAAGATAAAACACAAATGTAACCACCTTTAACACTTTGAACTTCCAGAACTGCCAAAGAACTCCTCTTTAGTTTTCCAAAAATAACATAAACTTTCAGAAACAGAGAAAGTCTGAATGTTCTGAAGGCAGTGAAGGTTTTTAAATCAGAGACAGCTCTGAGGTGTCATCGATGGAAAGTGTAAAGTTGTTTAGTGGCTCTGAACTTTAATCTATTTATTTGATTTATTTCTAAATGTCTAATTCTTTAGAAGTAATAAAAACACATCATATACAAACAATTGTGGTTCCTTTGTTTTAATACTTTTCTGCATCATATTTTCAAAGTACAATAATGCACAATAATCATTCATCCACTTCTGTTGAGTATAGATGAATGTCCTTTTGAAAGGACATTTTCTACATATTTGTGGGAACCTGTTCCAGTCCTTTGCAACGGCTCACATTACAAACATTACAGCCTTCAAAACAATTATTACTATCATTATCGAGGCTGAGTATGAATGTGAGGGCAACACTTTAAAACAGTCTCTCCATGGCCTCGCTCCAAAATATATTAGTGACATGTTAGTCCCATATGAACCAGCCCGGACTATGAGGAGCACAGGGACTGGCCTCCTGCTGGGACTCTGAGGAGCACAGGGACTGGACTCCTGCTGGGACTCTGAGGAGCACAGGGACTGGACTCCTGCTGGGACTCTGAGGAGCACAGGGACTGGACTCCTGCTGGGACTCTGAGGAGCACAGGGACTGGACTCCTGCTGGGACTCTGAGGAGCACAGAGACTGGCCTCCTGCTGGGACTCTGAGGAGCACAGGGACTGGCCTCCTGCTGGGACTCTGAGGAGCACAGGGACTGGACTCCTGCTGGGACTCTGAGGAGCACAGGGACTGGACTCCTGCTGGGACTCTGAGGAGCACAGGGACTGGACTCCTGTTAGTGCCCAGATTCAGAACTAAACATGGGGAGGCTGCTTTTCAGATTCATGCTGCTAAAATCTGGAACAGTCTTCCTGAAGATGTGAGACAGGCCTCCTCTCTGACAATGTTTAAAACCAGGTTAAAGACAGTTCTGTTTAACTGTGCTACAACTGAGGGATTTTATATTTTTATCTTTCTTTTTAATGTTCTGTGATTATTTATTATTTTAATGCTTTCTTGTTTTGTTCAGCACTTTGAGTTGCCTTGTGTATGAATTGTGCTATACAAATAAACTTGTCTTGCCACTTTGCCCAAAGCCAGTAGCTCCTGTGGACTCAGCACCTGTGGACTCAGCACCTGTGGACTCAGCACCTGTGGACTCAGCACCTGTGGACTCAGCACCTGTGGACTCAGCACCTGTGGACTCAGCACCTGTGGACTCAGCACCTGCAGAGGAGTGGGGCTGGTGCTCTGTGTACGCTTTAGTCACTTGTCTAAAAAGATTTCATAACAATAACTGGAATGATTGGAATGTGTGGTCATAGAAATCAACAGAGACATAGATGGAACTTTAGAACCATTTTAAAATCATAAATGGGTTTGTCCAAAAACTACAACAAAATGGCTTGAACATGAATACATTTGAGCTGAAAAGCTTTTGAACCAAAGACCCACAGGCGTCGCATCTGTTTGAACCATTTTAATGACCTGTAGTTAATGAGTGATCAGTGGCCTTTTTGCCCTCACAGAAACCACTCAGTGCTTCAGTTCTGCTAAAGTCCCGCCCCCAGGTCTGAAGGCTGCTCCCTGATTGGTCCAAATGTGACTGACACTCGATACTGGTTGAATTGACCCGCCTTTTCTCTGCAGCTCTTCATACACATCAGAAGAAGACTATATGTTACTATGTTTCTATGCAAAAGTATAAAGACAATGGAGTATTTATGTAAATATAAAATGTAATTCCAGTGATTTTAAGAACTTTTTTTGCAACAGAAGCTACTTTGATCAGTTCATTTTGTTTTGCTCCAAGTCCAAAACACACTTTTGAATGTGTGTGCATCATTAAATCCATTCTAACAGGATGCTGGTAAACTAATGCTGCAGATTGACAGGAGCAGGGCTCCCACAGAACTCTCTAAGCCCAGACTCGAACAAGGCAGTGTGGGGGATGTGTTCTGCCCAAGGGCACAATGATTTACACTTTGGTTCAATGGTTTTGCATTTCCCAGGGTGCCTTGTGTTGTCCTGTGTAGGATTTTACCTGTCCCCTGGTATTACAGAAGTCTCCCATCACATAACTAACCAGGCCCCACACGGCTTAGCTTTGATACAAACATGTAATAAATCACTCGACCATTTCATAATGTAGGATCAATGGGTTATTCCTGCTTTAGACCTGCTTTAGTACTGCTTTAGACCTGGTTTAGTCCTGGTTTAGTCCTGCTGTAGTCCTGCTTTAGTCCTGCTTTAGACCTGCTGTAGTCCTGCTGTAGTCCTGCTTTAAACCTGCTTTAGACCTGGTTTAGACCTGGTTTAGTCCTGCTTTAGACCTGCTTTAGTCCTGCTTTAGTCCTGCTTTAGTCCTGCTTTAGTCCTGCTTTAGTCCTGCTTTAGTCCTGCTTTAGACCTGGTTTAGTCCTGCTTTAGTCCTGCTGTAGTCCTGCTGTAGTCCTGCTTTAGACCTGCTTTAGTCCTGATTTAGTCCTGCTTTAGACCTGTTTTAGACCTGCTTTAGACCTGCTTTAGACCTGCTTTAGACCTGCTGTAGTCCTGCTGTAGTCCTGCTTTAAACCTGCTTTAGACCTGGTTTAGACCTGGTTTAGTCCTGCTTTAGTCCTGCTTTAGTCCTGCTTTAGTCCTGCTTTAGTCCTGCTTTAGACCTGGTTTAGTCCTGGTTTAGTCCTGCTGTAGTCCTGCTGTAGTCCTGCTTTAGACCTGCTTTAGTCCTGATTTAGTCCTGCTTTAGACCTGCTTTAGTCCTGCTTTAGACCTGCTTTAGTCCTGCTTTAGACCTGCTTTAGTCCTGCTTTAGTCCTGCTTTAGACCTGCTTTAGACCTGCTTTAGTCCTGATTTAGTCCTGCTTTAGACCTGCTTTAGACCTGCTTTAGTCCTGCTTTAGTCCTGCTGTAGTCCTGCTTTAGTCCTGCTTTAGACCTGCTTTAGTCCTGCTTTAGACCTGCTTTAGTCCTGCTTTAGTCCTGCTTTAGACCTGCTTTAGACCTGCTTTAGTCCTGCTTTAGTCCTGCTTTAGTCCTGCTTTAGTCCTGCTTTAGACCTGCTTTAGTCCTGATTTAGTCCTGCTTTAGACCTGCTTTAGTCCTGCTTTAGACCTGCTTTAGTCCTGCTTTAGACCTGCTTTAGTCCTGCTTTAGTCCTGCTTTAGACCTGCTTTAGACCTGCTTTAGTCCTGATTTAGTCCTGCTTTAGACCTGCTTTAGTCCTGCTTTAGACCTGCTTTAGTCCTGCTTTAGACCTGCTTTAGTCCTGCTTTAGTCCTGCTTTAGACCTGCTTTAGACCTGCTTTAGTCCTGCTTTAGTCCTGCTTTAGACCTGCTTTAGTCCTGCTTTAGTCCTGCTTTAGACCTGCTTAGTCCTGGTTTAGTCCTGGTTTAGTCTTGCTTTAGACCTGCTTTAGACCTGCTTTAGTCCTGCTTTAGACCTGCTTTAGTCCTGCTTTAGTCCTGCTTTAGACCTGCTTTAGACCTGCTTTAGTCCTGGTTTAGTCCTGCTTTAGTCCTGGTTTAGTCCTGCTTTAGACCTGCTTTAGACCTGCTTTAGACCTGCTTTAGACCTGCTTTAGTCCTGCTTTAGTCCTGCTTTAGACCTGCTTTAGTCCTGCTTTAGTCCTGCTTTAGACCTGCTTTAGTCCTGCTTTAGACCTGCTTTAGACCTGCTTTAGTCCTGCTTTAGTCCTGCTTTAGTCCTGCTTTAGACCTGCTTTAGTCCTGCTTTAGTCCTGCTTTAGTCCTGCTTTAGTCCTGCTTTAGACCTGCTTTAGTCCTGATTTAGTCCTGCTTTAGACCTGCTTTAGTCCTGATTTAGTCCTGCTTTAGACCTGCTTTAGTCCTGCTTTAGACCTGCTTTAGTCCTGCTTTAGACCTGCTTTAGACCTGCTTTAGTCCTGCTTTAGACCTGCTTTAGACCTGCTTTAGACCTGCTTTAGACCTGCTTTAGACCTGCTTTAGACCTGGTTTAGTCCTGGTTTAGTCCTGCTGTAGTCCTGCTGTAGTCCTGCTTTAGACCTGCTTTAGACCTGCTTTAGACCTGCTTTAGTCCTGCTTTAGACCTGCTTTAGTCCTGCTTTAGACCTGCTTTAGTCCTGCTTTAGTCCTGCTTTAGACCTGCTTTAGACCTGCTTTAGTCCTGATTTAGTCCTGCTTTAGACCTGCTTTAGTCCTGCTTTAGACCTGCTTTAGTCCTGCTTTAGACCTGCTTTAGTCCTGCTTTAGTCCTGCTTTAGACCTGCTTTAGACCTGCTTTAGTCCTGGTTTAGTCCTGCTTTAGATCAGCTTTAGTCCTGCTTTAGACCTGCTTCGTCCTGGTTTAGTCCTGGTTTAGTCCTGCTTTAGACCTGCTTTAGACCTGCTTTAGTCCTGCTTTAGACCTGCTTTAGTCCTGCTTTAGTCCTGCTGTAGTCCTGCTGTAGTCCTGCTTTAGACCTGCTTTAGTCCTGCTTTAGTCCTGCTTTAGACCTGCTTTAGTCCTGCTTTAGACCTGCTTTAGACCTGCTTTAGTCCTGCTTTAGTCCTGCTTTAGTCCTGCTTTAGACCTGGTTTAGTCCTGGTTTAGTCCTGCTGTAGTCCTGCTGTAGTCCTGCTTTAGACCTGCTTTAGTCCTGATTTAGTCCTGCTTTAGACCTGCTTTAGTCCTGCTTTAGACCTGCTTTAGTCCTGATTTAGTCCTGCTTTAGACCTGCTTTAGACCTGCTTTAGTCCTGCTTTAGTCCTGCTTTAGACCTGCTTTAGTCCTGCTTTAGACCTGCTTTAGACCTGCTTTAGTCCTGCTTTAGACCTGCTTTAGTCCTGCTTTAGACCTGCTTTAGTCCTGCTTTAGTCCTGCTTTAGTCCTGCTTTAGTCCTGCTTTAGACCTGCTTTAGTCCTGCTTTAGTCCTGCTTTAGACCTGCTTTAGTCCTGCTTTAGTCCTGCTTTAGACCTGCTTTAGACCTGCTTTAGTCCTGCGGTCCTGCTTGTGACCTGCTTTAGTCCTGCTTTAGTCCTGTTCGGTCCTGCTTTAGTCCTGTTCGGTCCTGCTTTAGTCCTGCTTTAGTCCTGCTTGTGACCTGCTTTAGACCTGCTTTAGTCCTGCTTTAGTCCTGCTTCAGACCTGCTTTAGTCCTGCTTTAGTCCTGTTCGGTCCTGCTTGTGACCTGCTGTTTCAGACCTCAGTGTGTGTTCTCTGCAGTGTGTATAATATTAAATCTGTGATAGCTGCATGTTCATAAATATTCCATAGTGTTTGTGGTGATCACTAATGTCATGAAACAATGAAACAATGGAAACAATACAGTGTCATGTATTAGTCTTATAATGATGCCTGCTCCTTGAAACCAAGATGGCCGCCTCCATGAGAGATGGAGGATGGAGTCAAAAGACTGACCTTACCTTTTATATTAACATGTTTAAGTATGTTTAAAGTGATACATGGTAATGTATAGATTTAATGTAATTAAACATATTAATGTTATTGAATTCATTTGTCTGTGTCACAAAATACTTTAGCATGTATACCTAATGTAATACATCATATTCTGATCACCAAACTTTCACTGCAATGGATGTTTTTAATATGACATATTTCATGGAGGCTGCCATCTTTTCTGTGACGAGCTGAGACATGTTCATTTAGAAGTTTGATCTGATTGGTCCATTTGAAAGATTGTGCTTTTTTATTTTATTATTTTTTTTAGACCTAGTTGTTTCCTCAGTTTCACATGTGACCCATGGTGTTTGTGTCCTGGTTCAGACCTGGTTTTGTTTCAGTCCAGGTCATAGTGTGTGGTCTTGAATGAAAGCAGGGGGGCTTGTTATTTTCTTTTGATTTAAATGGTTTTAAGTCCTCTGAGACTGTTGTGGTTTAGGGCTATACAAGAATACATTGAATAGTTTTTTTTCACTAGTAACATGATAGTATTAAGTCCAAGCTTTAGACCTGCTGTAGATATGCTATGGTCATGAATGTCATTTTGGACTTTCTGTTGGTCTTTTAGATCAGCTTTTTCAGTGGAAAATAGATAACTAACTCTCACTCAGCCAATTAGCTGTCAGTATGTAGAAGATACATTTTTGTTACTTTAAACTGAGTCATATTTGACTGGCTTTAAAGTCATATTTATAGTATTTATAAGTAATATAGTTGATGATAGTACACTGCTTCTGCCCATCTGCTGTCTATAGCTGTTGATTGAATGATTGAAACATTTGATTTGTTTGTTAACTTGTCACTGGTGCTTTCAGATGCCCAGGAAGCCTGGCTGGAAGCGCTCCGAGGCCACGGCCCGGCGCTGGGAGCACAAGCTAGACTTGTCCTGGCGGGGAGTGGATGAGCTGGCCTCTTCTGGGCTAGCTGTTCAAGTTCCTCGTCATGAGCAATGCCCTGAGCCGACCACTCGTATGTTTAATCTTTAAACTTATTCACTTTTCCATCTGTCGCTGCAACATTATTTGTATAATTTGCTGTTCATAGGCCTTGGTCTTGGTTCTCGGCATTCTGTGAAGAAGCAGAACTGGCCCACTTCGTCGTACGTCGACAAGCCTTGTAAGTGGGTCGTTCCGCCAGTGTTTCCGGACAAAAAGGTATGTCCCAAAACATTAGTTTTTAAATATGAAATGTTTTTACTTTCTTTGAATACACTTTTTTTCTCATCAACAGTTTGCATTTGTCCTTGGAAACTCCCATCTGCGTGCGATCGTAGATGGGTTCGTGCCGATGCCAGAAGACGGTTTTTCTTTTGGCTTCTGCTCCATACCCGGTGGTTCTGCCCGGGACATATGCAAGGAGCTGTCTTCACAAATGGCTTGTGAAGACCCACCACTTCAGAGGGAGCCAGACGTCGTGTGTCTCCTCGCTCCTTGCAACAACCTAACAGCCAGCAAGACGGTTACAGAGGCTGCATCAGAGTTCGCCCGACTCCTCGACGTAGTGTGCAGCCGCTGGCAAGAGGTCTCAGCATGTTTCTGTTTAAAGTCCTTTTATTATAATGGTTCCTTAGACAGTATATTCATTCTGTAACGTTTCACATAGGTCTGTGTTCTGGATTTTCCACCTCGTCTGACAGTAGAGGTGGAGCTCCAACAGGCCCTTAGGGAGGAGTACCGCCGTGTGGCAGCTCGCAGGGGTAAGTAGAATATAATGTATTGGCTTCAAAGTGTGAGTTTTCAGATGTCAATGTGCCCTAAAACAGCTCTGTATCTGGCTGTTTTCACAGAAATCCGCTACTTTCCTGTGGCTGAGCACTTCCGGATGGACAAACTCCGGTTGTGGTGCTGGGATGGTGTAAGTAAAAGTTTACATCACAATCTATACAGCAGGGCAAACAAGGTGCAGTGATCTTGGGCCACATTATGGGCTACATTTATCACATGTTTGTGTGTGCAGCATGTATGGAGGACCACAACTGTCAAAGTAATAACAAATGAATATA